TAACGAAACGAAGATCCGGAGCTAATCGCGAGACTCGGCTTACTACAGTCGAACGTAAACAGGGTAGTAAATTTTTTCAACTGCGTCACCGTTTAATTGAATATCGAAAACGATTGCAGGAGTTTTCTGCTCTGAAACCAGTTTGGATATGAAGAGGCTGTCACGCTGAATCAGCTTCTAGACGTTTGAAACTTGGGTTCTCGGTAGAAAAAATAAATATTGTTCGTGAAAATTTACGCGATTATCATCAAAAATTTAACGCGTACTTTATCGGTATGGCGAATCTTAATTTATGGTAATTTACGACGAATGGAGGAGGAAATTGTACGATGTTCGCAAATAATATCCGCTCGAATCATGAAAAATATATCGATGAAAAACTGGATACTTAAATCTTAGGAGGCGAATTAAATGAATGTTGACGTGGCAGGCTGTACTCGGTAGAGTAGCGGATAAAAGCGAAAAGAAAGCATGTGCTCGTATTTCGCTGTGCATCCAAGTATAATTTAGACTATCGAAATTAATTCTAGGCTGTGATCCATTTATGCTTCATTGAGCCGATCGTTAAGCCTCCACGCTCGGTCCTGCAAACGTTGCAGCGGTACAATATAGGAACACTGTTCTGCTTTACGGCGATCTGATTACAATTTCGTGGCTGTGAATTTCACTTGAAGATTGTTTCGTCGATATCCATAGAGGATAACGCTACGAGGCGTAACATCGCGTCTAACATTAAGTAGAATTTCATGAAACTAATACACATGGAAACACGAACGAGCTAATTTTTCAATAAAAATTAAATTTTGAGAAATTCGATTACATTAATAACTTATTACTGAAAATTCTCAATGCGAGAATTGATTGTAAATTTTAATAAATAAAAAAAAATATTAATAACTTGTCCCGTTGACAGAGAAAATACCACTGATACGTTTCATTTTATTTTTCTAATGTATATGGGATGGAAGTTATACTTTCTCGGACTGAATTCCGCTAATAAGAGAAATTCTTCCGTTTCCATCGTCCTCTGCAAGAATCTAGCACACGCTAATTCCAATGTCCTGATTTCCGGTAAAATCCGGCGATGACACGTTTATCGAGCGATTCCCTGCTGGCTTTTAAATGAGATTTCTCCGCGAATTTGCTCCCGATGTTCCACGTTAATTTCAATCGCGTCGCCTTACATATAATTAAACGAGGAAATCGAATTAAGAGTTCTTAAGCCGGCGGAGGGGAGATCAGAGATTAGCGAAAAATCAAGAACCGTACATTAATCCGGTCTAAGTCGAGGCCTCACGATATATTTCCATCCCTCTGTCCCTCATCGTCGTCCATCATTTCTCACCTCATATTTTTCCATCCCTTCGCGCTACATTCCCTGTCCCACTTCTCTTTCCTCATTTCCTTAATTGCTGATCCCTGCACGATTTTTTCGACCGGAATTCCGCATTCTTTTTCCCTGAACCGTGATAAACCCAGATACCGAATCCTCTTGAGACTATATAATATCGATTTCACGGCTTTCACGGAACTGAAATCATTAAAAAAGTTTGCGCCATGTATTGCAAAATAATCTCTATATGGAGATTCCAACCGTTTCGATGAAGGTGTCGATGAAAATATGAATCTGTATAAACGTTCACGGCCTAGTTATATATCTCTCGTTTATGTTTAACGTCAATGGTATTCTTTTTCCAAAAGTTGTTCATCTGTGATACGTTTATAATTTTATCGATTATGGGAGCTCTTTGTTAATTTCAATAGATACGATTTTCGTTGAAACTTGAAACAAGATTCGCAACAATACGGTGTATTATTCACACGTGTGTTAAAAATTTGTCTCGTAAACTACGATCACAATCGGAACAAATCATTCTATTATTGAAGGTCGATGATATTTTTGCTCGATAAATCCCATGTTCTATGAAGAATAGTTCAATTTATTGAACAACGTATATCTGTTCGAAGTGTTAGTCGATATGTGATTAAATGCTAGCCTTTTTGTATTTGTAACATCGTTTATTCTGCCAGCTTTTTCAATGTCACTTCTCTATACTATCAGCAGTATGCAGTTGAATTTTAATCGATACATAGATTTATTTTTTGCGAGGATTTTTAACAATGCGATTGCAATTGATACGGCTTCGTAAAGCGAAACATTTCTGAACCTGTTCGATCTTCTATTTCAGGCACGTTACAGCAATTCAAAAGCGAAATCATAGCTGGCGAAAAGCTGTTTCAAAGAATCGTACATTTTCTAAACTTTTAAAACGGTCATTTAAATGTATATACAGGGTGGTTGGTAACTGGTGGTACAAGCGCAAAGGGGTTGATTCTACGCGAAAAAAGAAGTCGAAAATATAGAATAAAAATTTTTCGTTCGAGGCTTTGTTTTCGAGAAAATCGACTTTGAATTTTCGTTGTCTCGATGGAAAAATTAAAAAAAAAATTAAAAACAAGATTTTTTTTCTATATTTTCGACTTCTTTTTTCACGTAGAATCACCCCCTTTCCGCTTGTACCACCGGTTACCAACCACCACCCTGTATATCTACAATCATACAAGCGAAAGAGAAAGCCAGTCGAATCGCAAATTAAATATACCGTTTCAAATCTTTGCGAATTTATATTGGAATATAAAAACTTTCTTTGAGTGAAAACGTTTTCGTAAGCATCTTCGTAATGTCGAAGCCACTGGTCTCGGACAAACTCTTTCTATGATTTGAAAACCAGTAACTGTTGAGAATTGTGGATCTTAATTGCCGAAATGAAAGTAAAGCAACACTAAGGTTACACTTAGAATTCATATTAAAATAGTTTCAGATTTATTTAATAAACGATTTGCAGGACCTTCGTCTCGTTTTTCGAGACGTCGCGCACACACATACTTCCACACACTCGCATTCACATACGTGTGTCACTACTACGCTGCCAATCTAGTCTAGCACACAAGTCTCTACCGGTTTCTACCCTTGGACCAGTCGCGTACTGAACGTATCAGTGTAACTTTTTTTTTTTTTGTACGTAGAGAAATCCTCATGGACACTCCGCTGTTGCTAATAATCGAGTAACAGCGGAGTAGTGTCGGACTCCTAGCGATTAAAACTTCACGATGACCATCCTACGCGTATGACAGGAGTGCTCCAGGAACCTCTTATGAATTATCTTCCGTTGCACCCCCTTCCCGCGTCCTCTTGTTCGAGCCAGTCCTAAAATTCTCCGTCTGTTTAGTTTAGGGGGTGCCCCTAGCGCTATCGCCCCTTCTAATCGTGGTCCGTTGGGACGGCGATGAAGCGGCTCTGGGTCGCCTCACTGCTATCCTCCTCCATCGTCTTATCCTACAAGGGTGAGAGTTTTTCTTTCTCTCCCTTTCTGCTCGCTCCTTCGCGAGCATAACTCGCTCGCAGAAGAGGCGGACGACCTCGTATTCCCGTGGCCCTCTCAACGTCGCTTCTAAAATCACCGAGGAGGTCAGTCTTTCGCCTATGAAACGTATCGGTATAACTAGGTTTCATATAAAGTTGTTGGAGTGAATTGTGATTTATGTGTGTTCGTTCAGCGTGTATTCCATTGCGATTGCTGAATTCATAATAAAGCTTAATAAAAGCAAAATTGATAGTTGCGTTACGACTCGGCTATTTTATTTTGTCATCCAACCCTCAAGTTTACGTGACAGTCGCGTAGGCTTTTCTTCCGCGTAACTATTTGGCTGAAAAATCGACGACGCATTGATGGGCCGCTCGGTCCATTGAAGTTCCCATATCCTTTTGGTCTGTCGGCAATTTTCTCGCAACACTGTTTATGGTTCACCCGATATTTCTTAGTCAATCTGTCCACGATACTACACTGATAATAAATGAACTAATTATTAAAATTCTCTGACACACCAAAATTGTATTATATTTGATTGAATACGAAGGAAAAGAGATCAACTGCTCCCAACTATAAATCAAATATCGCGTGTTTTAAAAATTCTTAAGGCGTATCTGTTGAACATCGTTGCTCCACTGCGATATAATATATGTTTCCTGAAACTCACAACCATATACTTCGAGATTTCTAAATCGTGATAAGTTCCAACTCCATGATCCTGATCCTTCCATGATCCTGAGAGCCATTGATGTTGCGATACACCGTTTAAATTGATCCAAATCGGTGATCGAGATTGAGATCGTTGAACTCCAAATTCAGTTCGGATTCGTGTATTCCGGGAATATGTCAGATGGATTCCGTGAATATACTGGGTAGATTCCGAGAATATACCAGTTGGATTCTCTTCACCCCAGGCTAGCGGCTACCTTCGATACCCTGTTTGTCCAAATCGTACGATCTATCTATATAACGCGAGACTCGTGTTTTATACAGCGTATATTATTGTTATCGAATTTAATATTTAACATTTACCGATCTAGAGGTAACATGTGTCTGATGTATTCTTATTCTTATGATATTTGTACGACTTTGGTATCTCTCTTTTTCTTCCATTTGTCTATCTGTGTCACGTTGCTTTCTGATATTGCCGTTATACGATCTGCTCTGCTTTTCTGCTGCTTCGTGAGTGTCGTATTCTTGTTTCACAGAGATTAAATCGATTTCCGGTGATCCTGCGTGTTGCCGGTGCCTTTCGTGCTTGGCAAATGTTGTGTTCTCGGTGCTTCGTACCACGAGGGAGTCGCTTCTTTATCCCTCAGCTTATACCGTATTCCACACTCTGTTCGTTCCTTTTGCATTTCAGGACGTAGCGGCGTTTTTATCTATTTGCAGCATTCTACATCTACCTACATTGTCGAGTAACGTATATAACGCAACGGTTAGCGCACGTATAACATGTTTCACGTATTTTTTTAGTGGATAATTAAATCGATAGTTTGATGATCGAAATCGTGTCAAATTTTTCGACAGAAAATTCCAAGAATTAATTTAATTCGTTTTATTTGACACATACTATACACAGATGATTCTATGACGATCGAAGTAATCGAAATATCGTATATGTTTCAGGCGAGAATCCAGCAGCCATGCAGCACGGTGGTTGCGCGAATCTTCAGGCGACGTCGTTCGTTCTCATCGTCATCACGATGCTATTCCCGTCGCTTTTCAGGTGACCGTGATGTCCTAATCACTCTCTGGGCCTGCAGTTCGAATGGTGCTAACTCCCTTCATTCTCGCGGCAAATGGAACGCGAGAAAATTCCGAAGAATCCGAAGTAATTGTCTTTCCCGGCCCATATGTCGAGCTTCGCAAGGAACGGACGCACTTTCGCATTCGAAATCGATTTTTACACCGAAAGCCGATAAGCAGCAACCAGCCGAATCAATTCCGACTCGTGATACGAAGAAAGAAGACAGTAAGAAATCAGCGAAAACTTTCTCCATGGTATACGCAGATTATTATAAGACAGAGAGGGAAAGAGAGAGAGAGAGGGAGAAACGTTTGTGCTGAAACCACTGTTTTACACGAGATGTCGTCAAAGGATCCGATTGTTCGACAAAGGACTTTCCTCCCCCTTTCGTTTCGTTTCTTTTTCAATACATCGAACTGCATAAATGGAAACGCGAAATTTCCCCGTGACAGACAACGAAGTTTTCCCCTTTATCGTGAACATTCGTCGATCCTGTTTACCGAGCTCAAGGTTCGCCCATCTCGTCTACCATATCGTACGTGAATTTCCACGAATATTTTTGCGTATGGCGGTTCCAGCGGTTCGCTTTGAACGCTGCACGATACCAAGAGAGGATTCTCCATTGCCTTTTACTCGGTCGATCTCTTGGTTCGCATGTAAAAATTGGAAACGTATCCTTGTGGGTTCATACTGCGCACGAACATTATCAAAACGAAATAAAGATAAATCGAACGTGAATTATCGTGATTTGAAATTCGTTCAAGCAGATTAACATATCAATCTTTTTCTCAGAACGAAAATCGCGGCTCTTCCCGTTCCTTCCGACGAATAATTCTATTAAAGAAAAGAAAAAAAGAGAAAAGAAAGTGATTTGACTTGTCGCAGTTGAAACGCCGGGAATCGAACAGAGTTTATTTCTTTGAAACTGAAAAAGTTTCGGGAATAAATAGCGACCTAGAATTGTTTATCCGAATGGAGCACGCGTGGTACACGAACCGTGCCAAAAACAGACGAGTACGAATACTTTTTATCATTGTCATTCTAGTTTCATCGAATGTAATTGCATGTTCCGGTCTCTTTAATCCTCAACACGGCATCGTTGCATTAGCATATTTACTTTTCAAGTGTTTTGTTTTGTTTGGTGTTTCTTCTTCGACACGGTAATAGCTTTTACCGCGTAAAATATACAATGTCAAATGAAAATAAAATATATTTTAACGTAAGTTATCGCGATCGCTTACGATCCGCTGATAACGATTAAGGGGTTACAGGAATCGAAGTGTTTTACACAGAATTTTATATTTAAATACGCTTCGATTTTATCCAGAAGCTGATGAATTTTTTTACTTTACCAACGATCAATTTAACTATTAAAATATTAAACTATTAAAGTTTGATTGAGTTCGACAAGTGAACCCATGTTCAAAGCCTTTGTGGTTCACGCGTTGAAGAGTTTCGCAAAGAGAATATTTTCTTCGATTGCATTTTTTCCAGCTTGATCAGGTTCGAACGTATATCCAGAGAAATCGTAAAGCAGAGAGGTTAAACGAATCAACGCTGGCCGAATAACTTGGAGATTAAATTAGAAACGCGTCTTGCCAAGATATTCACCGAGTTGCGAGAAACATCGCTTCTCGATTATTTGCGAAAATCTCCAGTCGATAATTCTGAATCTCATCCGAACATTTCATAGAGATTTCATCCATTGAAACAGTGAAAATCAACCGTGATGCTTCTGAGATGATTTTCACATCTAAAGCACATCGATATTTCTCGTACGCGTTCTACGTTCATGCGTGAAAATAAAGGGAATAGAGTCTCGGTCGATTGAACAATTTACGCAGCTCGCCTGTTCCATTTTGCGGGGGTTTCGCGCGAGTGAAATGCACAACGGCGGATTTGGCAAAAAGAAACGCGAACGACAGACGCAAACATTACGGCGATGTGTCGTGCAAGTTGAAGCGTGAAATAATGGTTGGGCCGTGGGCTCTTGAAATTATTACACGATATAAAATACTCGTTTCTACGCGGCGCCAGAAGCGTTGTTCAACCGGCCAGACAATGACCGTTCATAAAATTTCGAATCACTCGCTTAGCCTCCTCTGTGTTTATTGCGCGCGACTATGCAAATTTGCTTTCACTTCGCTCCGCCGCTACAAATTTAACACTTTGATTACCAGACCGTTGCCAGGACAATCATTTTTGCATCGGTCACTGGGCCCCACCACCGACTGGTTAAATGCGCTTGTATAAACGCCGGATATACGCGATCGATCTGTCCAATTCACGTCAGCCCACTCTATGACGTACAACCGCGCGTATTAATCGCTTTTCTCGCACATCGCCGATACCTTTTATTTTTTTATCGTTTTCTTTCCTACTCTTTTAGTTTCATGTACGCTTCTTCGATGCATCCGGCGGGGAAATGGTTGACGCGAGTCGTCGACCCGTCGGCGATTACGAAAGCCGATCATGGGACTTTTACATCGATTAGTGGGGAATCGCGAAGAACGATCGATTCCCATTACTTTCGATTTGTTTCCGACGCGACAAGTTCGATCTTATCGTGTCTTTTATTCTTTCTAACACGGTCTTTTGTTTTTTAAAGTTATTTTTCCACAAATTGCGCAGCTCGCACGAAACTGTACATCGAATCGGAGGGTGTTTTTTTACCATCTTTTTTGTCTTTTTTTTTTTTTTTTTTTGAGCAATACAACACGCTTCACGCTGGCTCAAATATTTTTCCACGCAAAGCTAAACCGATATACCCATACAAAAGCAAAGAGGAAGTTTTAATTCTGCGCTGTGTTCTACACATCGACTGTCCCTCTTTCGGAAACGATCCAATCGAGAACGATAAAGTTGGAATAACAATGAGCCTCCTCTGTTGAAAAATTACGATTCCTTCAATTACATACAGCATCCCTTTGTGCGCAGAACCAGTGTGCGGGCTTTCAATCAACTAAACAAAACGCCGACACCGCTGAAAAGCAAATAAAGAGCGCGTCACGTCGTATTAAAAAATAGTAATATCGGCTTTTTGGTTTTCGACTCGTATCCTTTGTTTCTATGTACTCTACCCTTCGCTATCTAACAGCTCGAACATTTCGGTCAATTTATATTAAACGATATGTTATTAGCAGATTGTACATCAAAATTATTTATTTTCAAATTTATTGTATACTAGTATTTTTTCGTTCATCGGACGATTGTAGTAATCACGAAGAATACGATTATTAGAAATCTTTCTATTTATAATTTCATATATCAAAAACGAGCATACTTACGAATGCTACAACATGTGTACAAGAACGCTATGTTTCTTCCGCAAAATGGTGCTATTATATTTTAGAAATAAAAATGACAAACATACGTAGGTTGAAATCAAACGAAACTCCGATACGTTCTTATTTTTACCTATGTCTATCGTAATTTTCTAATAAAACATTGACGCGCCATCTTTTTCTTATTTTTACCATTTCGCGTGCAGAGTCTTCCGTGATTTTTCTACCGCGTTTTGCCTTCTTCCTCGAACGATGAAAACCTCACATGCTATAAGTAGCACATCGCGCTAATTAAACGAAAATCCAGTACGTTGTTACATCGATCGAAACTTTCTAACCAAAGGCACATTTGCGCATCATCTTTTTCTTATTTTTATCATTTTGTACGTAAAAGACACGAAACACCGTGTACAATACGCAATACCGTGTTCCTTTTGGAAAACAATTTCGAACGCACGGAAATCCTGTCTACATTTCCGCGCGTCTCTGTTGCCTCTGTTCGTCGAATTCCTGTAAGCGAAAGTTGACCGCGTAATTTCATTTTGCGCCATTGAGGTTCGATCCCCGCTTGAATCCGCGCGATTTGAGACGCATAACCAGCGGGATCGATGTTAACGTGACCAGAGGTCGATCGCAAAATCGAAATCACCGAGAGATTCGACCCGAAGTGGTTAAACGGATCGTGACAATGACGTCGGGTCACTTCCGTGTAAATCAGCGCTTGCTGCTGCCGAATATTGCAACCTTCTGCCTGAATAATACAATAATTTATCGAGAGCATTGTTACACGGCCAGGTGAAAAGTACGTGGTAGTCCGCACAAAAGTCACATTCGTGTAACCGATATCTGCGATAAATTGGATTATCATCTGGACCGTGTGCCGCCTCTTTTCTACCTTCCACTTCTTCTTCTTCTTTGCTCTTAAAATCGTTTTACACTCGATCTTGTCTTTTTGTATCGTTAAGAAATTTTTAAGGAATCCTTGCCAATGTATGTCATTTTTTAAGTACAACGGGATTCGTTGCGAATTGTCGACTAAAGAGCAACCGGTCAGGTCAAACCGATCGGTCGATATCGCGTTCCTCGAACGAATCAACGCTCAAGGTAGAGGAGGTTTAACAGATCGAGTGTTAGAGTAATCTAGCACTGTATTTCCACTCGTTGTATAAAAATAACGTTTGATGTTATGAACACGGCGGTGGATCTTGTTGGGAGTGAAGTATTTCAGCCACGCGATACGACGTCCGATGATCAACTGTCCTTCTACGTTGCTGATTCTCCCTCGGGGAGGACATGTAATTCGGGATTTCCTAAAGAAGGGAATGGGCCCGTCCGTGGCATAAACGGCCGGTCACTCAAAATTGCGAGCAGGATTAAACGTACGAACGTTATTTGAGGTACCAAGTTGTGTTCATAATTTTCGTACAATTTGTTGAATTTGTAATTGAACGACGGAATACCTAACATCGTCATATGTTGCACGTTACACTCTACAAATCAATTCTATCGTTAATGTCATGTATCATTTTTATCATTAATTAAATCAAAATATTTATTGCTAGCTCAAAAGATAAACATCTTGGTGAAAAAATCCAATACTACTCTACCAATCACTGGACGAGCTTCGAAAGAAAAATCATATTGCGATGTAAAAGGTCGAAGACGGGATTCTCGAAAAACAAATTACCGTTTTATCGATGAAATGTCTTATTCGCATGCACAAATATTCCTTTACGCGCTTACGAAGCAGCGATTCCAATTCCTTATAAAGGGAAAATAATGGTAATCCGTTTGTCTGCTTGAACTTTTTCGTTCCCTGGTTCTTCCACTGCTCTGCCGTCGTGCTCCCCCTCATTTATCGTTTCGTATCCATATGATATCTTGTTTACCTCTCCACTATCCTGCAGGCTTTTTCTCGGCGATGGCCCGGTCTCCCACCGGAATCGTCATCCATTTCTATTTCTTGAAGAGCGTACCTCTGTCGCCCGTTGGAATTCGTAAAAAGAAGCATTTGCGAATTAATGGTAAACACTCGGTGGTTCGGTTTCCATCGTGAGAAAACGTTTTCCCGGCAAACTCGATTAGGGAAACAGCTTCGAAAGGCGATCGTCCGCAGCCTTTTCTCTCGATTTGTCCACCTTAGATCAATTAGAGCGTCGAATTTTCCAGCTACTCGCAGTTAACTGAGAAGATTTGGAGAGCTACTATAATAAACAATACGTTCGTTTTAATGCAATTATTTTGATCGTTCGTTCAATGTCGTAGATTTTTAGTATTTCGAGAAAAGAAGAATTCCGAAGAACTGGATTCTTCCTCTTGTCGAATCCCATTTACTTATTCTTTATTCTTTCCTTGTTCTCGTCATTTGTATATTCATATTGCTAGCGTTGTCATGTTTTGTACGTTTCATGTATTTAAAAGAATTTCATTCACTTATGGAATTTTTAGGAGATGGAATTGATTGTTGAAAAATGTAGAGCTTGTAAGACGTTGTTTTGAACTTCTGCAAAGTATCTGTATCTCATTTATAATGTAAAATGTTTTACATTTTCGAGCAGAGTTTTATTCATTGGAATCTTCATAAGATGGAGTTCAAAATTTAAAACGTGTAAGACGTTCCTTTTCGATTTTTCTGAAATTCTATCTCACTGTTACGATAAAATGTAATAGTTTGTTAGGTATTGTAAAATTTCAAATATATTTCGAAATAATTGAGCCTTTCTATTTAATGGTAAAACGTCGAGAAAAGGAAAATGTGAAATTATTTAGTGGCTTTTATATTGGAAGACTAAACACATACGATTCTTCGCAATTTTTTTTTTAATATAATACCACTATAATTGGGTCTAAATTGGAACTGAAAGCGTTCCACGGAAGCCGAGGCTTGCTTTAAAGGGGCATAAAGCTTTCATTGTGTGCACTGTCGTTTCTACGGTCTCTACAATTCATCAAAGTCGAACGGATCTATTTTAAATTGAAAATGAGAAGCATATCGGGAATTACGTTTTCATTTAACCGCGTATATTTTCTCATTATTGTTTCAGTAAATGATTTAACTTCTTATTATTCTGAATTAAACTTCCTCTCACCGTATAATCTGTTACGCGTTACATTTTATGCCATTTTTACACCGATCAATTTTTAAAACATGTCGTACAAGTTTAACAACTATATTACTTTTTTAGTTCTATTAGAAACTGTCGAGCGCTAAATATATCGCTGTTACTATTTCATGTTTGTTGGAACATTTAGTACAATATTTGTTGGGTATAATATTCGTTGATCGTTGGAACGATGGGTAGAAATTTTTCGCATCGTTTCACTCGACAACTGCTAAACTCTATAACGAAACTACGTATAGAAGGAATTTCAGTAATCGAAATGAACGCCAGTCATGAATGTAATAGAATTTGTTTGATGGAATTTTCATTGGTTTGGACACAATTTCCTGTCTTCTTATTGAACATGGCAAACACATAGAATCGAAGAAATATTTCTGCAAAAGTTACGATTGACATTATAACCGAGCAGAAATCTTTAAAAACGAACAATATAGGCATTGTTAAATAATAATATCGAATGAAAATATAATGCAGATGAATACCGTTCGTCTTTTTTTTTTAAAGATGATTCGCGATTAATTAAAAAGATGATTTTCGTTTTAATTAAAAATTTGTTAAAATTCGCATTTCATATGTTTATGCGTGAAATTCGGCTCTCTCGGAGCTTTAAATATTAATTACGTAAAATTTCAACAGCGAAACCTACTTAATCGAATTTTGATTTTAACTGGAATTTTGTTCATTTATTATCTTCCACAGCGTAAGCTGTATTTTCTCTTATACGTCTATTCGGTATATCGGTGAAAAACGGGGATTGTTTAACGCATTGAACGCGGAAGACGATTTCCTATTTCCTTGCGGATGATCCCTGGATAAATAGACACGCGTTATGGAAAAATAGATTTCCGACAGCAGGCACCTCCTTCGATTTTATATACCGCATTGAATATGCGAAAAACATTAATTAAACGATCGATGGATCGTCGAAGGTGTATACATTTGAAACTAAATATTTCTGTTCCACCAAACAATTCAGCACCGTTGAAAATTCAATGTCGAAAAATTGCGAGTTGTCTGAATTATTACTTCGATATGAAACAAAGTGAGGTTTGTTAATAAGTGAATCGCGATTTTCTTTTACGCGAAACAAGCATTTTTTAAATCTTGTGATATTGAAAATTAGTTTTTTTTGTTAGAGACAGATTAAATTTGCACCGATTTTCATAGAAATTTCACGAACTTGACAAACACGCTCGTACGACCAGGAGTTTCGTAGCGATCGAAATATCGCAAGATACGAACGAACAATCGATCGAGCATTAAATTGATTCCACTCGACGACGTACAATGTAACACGATCATCGCGTAACGTACGATAAATACAATCGATTTTTCAAGTACATTATCGATGGAAGAATCGAATGTTTCACCGGCTCTCAAGCAAACTCACAGAGTTGCAATTAAAAATAAAACACTTGAAAATCACAAGAAATAACAGAAT